TGCCCTCTTTGCAAGTAGGTTCAAGAGACGGCTGCCCACCTCCTCTTCCAGTGCCGATTCACAGTGAGAGTGTGGATGGAGATTAAGACTTCGCATGGTTTTCACGACATCGACCCGACAGATTGGAGACTTGTGCCCTTGGTGAGAGTTTGGTGGGACGAGGTTTGTCACAAGAGGGGTGACGCGAGGATCTTCTGCAACACCACCGCCCCTACTACCGTCGTCATCGCCAAGATTAAGGATGAAGCCTCTGTTTGGGCTCGTGCGGGTGCGAAGTATTTGAGTAATATAATGCCGTGTGAGTAATTTGTAATCACGCACTTGGCGGAACCATGTCTACTCCTCTTCTTAATTAATGAAAATGACAAATCTTTTGCCTTGTTTCAAAAAAAATAATACAATAATGGACAGTCGTGTGTTTGTAGTAGCAAGTTTTGGCGTCTTAGTGCAAAACTGTGGATCTAGTCCAAGGCAGTGCCGTAGTAGTATCACCCAAGCACGGTAGAGAAGCTCTCCCTAGTTCGGATTAGCACAAGAAGTACGATCTCTTGGACTCTCAGCGCATACAGAAATACAGCCGCTACGACTCAGGCAGCAAAACGAAGTCTGACTTCTTTTCTATGTCAAGTCCGCCTGCCGCCTGGGATTTTCATCTCGCGTAGACAGTTGCATCGTTTGAGAAGTCATGTCCGAACGTTTAGAATTCTTGACCATTTGTTTGAGATCCAAAATCGTCAAGGAGTAGAGGGTAAGCTTGAATACCTTATCTGCTGATCGATCGGTAGATCTAAGTTGGAATACCAAGGAGCAAATCTTAATGAGCAACCCAAGTCAACTTGAGCACTGCCCTGCAAATGGAAGACATCGGGAGACATAATTAACTTCCTCGTAGTAGTATACTATATATAGGATTCAGTCAACTCTGAATTAGGACTACATATTACCACCTGAAACAGTACTACCTCCATTCTGATTTATTAGTAACTTTTGTATTCTGTGCTAAATTTTGACCTTAAATTTAACTAACAAAATTTTAATGCATGTCATAAAAATAATATAATTGGAAACTATGTTCAAATACGAATCTAATGATATAATTTTTGATGACATGCATTAATATTTTGTTAGTTAAATCTTTAGTTAAAGTTTGGCACAAAATACAAAGGGACTTATAAAACAGGATGGAGGTAGTAGTAGTGATCCTCGACAGAGGACCAGAGCTGGCTATCTCAGCGAGATGCTCTAATCTGGCTAGCTCAGGATAACTCTAACTGATCCTCTAAAATTTAGAGGGTACGGCCGAGTATCCTTTAATGGAGTATATTTGCTCCACTAAATATAAGCGGTTTCAAACCGATCTCTTTAGTTTAACGAGTGAAAAATTCAACACAAATTTAGACTAGATTCAAACTTGATTCGATACAAACTTGATTCGATACAAACTTGATTCGATACAAACTTTATTCAAAACAAATTGGGTGCAAACCAAATAAAATTTAGACTAAAGAAACCTAATCTACTCATTATCGGTCTCGTTCTCAATCGTCTCCTATTCCGATTCGATGAGCCCATGGATGAGACGACCATGTCCCGCATCACTGGCATTGCCCTCGTCACTGTCGGCACCTGCCCTCTCCGTTGTCGGAGTCGCTGGAGAGGTTGACGATGTCCGTCCTCCCGAACATGTAATCCTCATAAAGCCGGCGCTCTACCTCGACGGGCGCCTGGTAGCGGTGATAGAGCTCCGTCATGTTATTGCCGCCGGCTTGCTCCGACACGATCTGCTCACGGGCGTGCCGGTCTTCCCGCATCTCCCTAGGGTGACCACCCGCGGTCGACCGGTTCCAACGGCGGCAGGCCATGGGGAAGTTGCGCCGGGGTGGCGACGCTATAGAGATGGACCGACTTGATGTCATATGCGCGTTCAACCTACATCACGGAGTGGAAGGATCCCGGCCAATGCCGCTTACCGGTGCCGTGGTCGTATATCCCTAGGACCCATGTCCCCCACCGGTGCAGCCGCACGCTGGTGTAATTTGGCTCCTACGGATTTGGTAGCATGGGAGGAGGATTTGCCAGTGCATGATGAAGCGTCGGCTTGGCAATGCTGATGCCGTTGTGGATCTGTAGGCCAACTGTGTGAGGAAGCGTCGGCGTGGTGACGCTGATGATATCGTGGATCCATAGGGCGATCGTTGGGGTTGGGCGGCAGGGAGGGGTGGCGGTTGGCTCCGGCCGTTATCGGCGGTGGAGTGGATGGTGAGGGCGCGCCGACGTGGATTAGGCGGCGGGGG